CCACAAAAATTAGCTTAAAAACTGCAAACGCTTATCTATGTTAAGGTGATTACTTATTTTTGTATGTATTTTACTTATTAAGTTTCTCTTTCAAACTCTTATACCAGAGTGGGTGATTGAACAATGGAAACATTTAAATATATTGTTTTTGAAAAATGTGATGTTGTTTCTGTGGAGTTTGAACCATGTTTTACCATGATCAGCAGAGTAACATGTGTTTTCAATTGAGTCTGAGGGCTTTAGGAGAGCTCATTGATTGTATGTTTTTTACATTTATAAATTGCAATAATTGTCATAGTTTCTTGTCAAAACATTGACTAATTCATAAAATTGCACTGAAAAAGGGTCACTCAATTGCCCTTATTACCGGCGATCAGATGTTGAATCCTGTCTACATCAGGGTCAGTTGTCAAGGGAATGAATGTCAATTGGGAACTTTGCTGTGAGACTAAAGACAAAACTCCAATAATATTAGGAGTCACTGAGGTTTTGTCTAGTGGGAAAAAGATGTAAGTGTGTGGGTCAGTGATCACCAGAGCTTCAGAGATTTGACTCATGACATCAGCGCGTACTGATCTCTGTTCATATGTTTTAACATTGATCAAACGTATGCTCTCGTTCTACACCGATTCACAGACACTAATGCTAACTGCACCTTCACCTCAACACCAACTGCCCAAAACACAACATAAATCCACCAATAATAGGCTCGCTCAGGCAACAATAGAACTGGTTTCAACCGGCCAGCTCAGCAATACCCAGACTTTAATTTGTGGATTATTATCTGATAGACTTCACTACTGTATGAAAAGCAATTACACCAGGAGCTTTTCCTCAACCTTTCTCTAAACTCTCCAAAAAGTTTAGTTCCAAATTATCTGTATTTCCTCGCAGAGAGCACATACAATTGAGGTCAGCAATTTTGACGCGAAAGATTAGCGAGGCACATCATTTAGAAATAGTGAAGGACTATAATTATAAACATAATGTCTGCTGCTGTATAACAACACTTCGCGAAAAGAATCCTCGGATACACTAACCCTACAAATATGGTGACTGTTAGGAGATTGTTCTAAAAGCGACTCTAAATCTGTCAGAGGAGAGCTAGAGGAAGTGTGGAAATGGCTGTGGTCACTCATTCATGCAGACCGGTATCAACCCTGCATGCTGGCGCTGACAGATTTACATTGGTTAATAATATATTGTGTTTTCCTGCTGCTGCACCCCAATATTCACTTTTGTCCTGATGATAATACTTTGATGGAGCAGACAAAAGGAACCAGCGGCCGGCTCACAATAAAGTTGACCCTGCTTGAAAAAGAAACAGTCAAACTCAGTGCTGCATACAAATGTGTTGATATTCACTGCAGCTGTACTTTATTTATTTTATTTTTATTTTATTTAATACTTACTTCCGGGTGTACAATTCTCCGTTATCCAATGAGAATGGACGCTTACATTGCCTTTAAGGGCAGCCGACACAAACGAATGCCGTGCTTCCATGAGCGTCAAATCCCGCCGCAGATGGGAATACATTGCAATCAGTTGAAAGCTATTTGCGTCCCTTTATGAAGCTGAAGGAGCCTAGGAGCGTCACAACTGCACGCCACGGACACTGACCAAGCGTCGCTCCTGGACGATTATGGAGTGAGAGTGTGTTGTTATTTGCATAAAAGCTCATGAAAATTAAAGCGGGATTAACCTAAGGAAATGTGAATACTATTGGCATGAACTACAACAAATCATTTGGCTAAAGAGCAACAAAGGTTGCAGAGCTCATTTAGGGATTAAGAACTTTTTAATTGGTCAAAAATATCTAGATCCCCTAACAATCCATATAGCATATTAGAAACAAAGGCATTACACTAGAAACATATAATAAGACATTTTTCACAATACAACTCAACTAATCAGACAGTTACACAATGCTGGCGGGTGTCTGAAGATTGAGCCAGTAAGCCTGTCTACAAACCTCTGTCTGAAGCCAGCACACTGTGTCATTTATTTCACAAATGTGTCCCTTTGTTTCTGCAAACCAGCGGAAACTCATGTCTGCACCAAGTCTACAGGCAAGTAACAAAGAAACTGTTTTTTCTGATTGGATGAAACATTAGTTTGAACTGACAAAATGTGATGGTAATGAGGGACGTCTAAAAATGTTTGCAAATACATGTTCTTCCGCTTTAGAAATGAACTACAACAACACTGTCTGCATTACACATATCCACCAACAGTCCAGATGTTGGGAGGAAACGGATTCAATCAAATCCTATTTTCCTTATGTTTCAAGACAAGCCATCTGAACTTTGACTGTTTAACTATTGCACCATCTCCCCTCCCAACAAATGGACACTCGTGCATTATTCATGAGGGAGAAAGTGGCTCATCAGAGATGCAGAGTGAAACATGGCAGGCAGGGGAGAGCATCAGAGGGGGGGAGTCAGGAGGGCAGAGGAGGAGGGGGAGATAGAGAGGGCCATGGGTCATTCACAGCTCCAGAGACAGAGGATGAAATGAAGGAAAGAGCGAAGCGTGGAAGAAAGATGTGGAGTTCATAACTCTATGAGAATTAAGAGGAGGGGGGATGGGGGAGAGATAACAGGTCTTCAGAAACATACTGTGCTTCACATGTTCGTAAGGATAAGAACAATTCACATGTGGTGGTCATTTATGACACCAACATCAAACTAGTGTTACATTTTTTTTATGGAATTCACTTGGTACTTACATATAATAAGGATAAAAAATGTGTCAGATATTATTTTATATATATGCTCATTTTACCGAAGTTAGTTCACCATATTGTATTCTGTGTCATTTCAGGTTGTATTTTTTCCAAACGGGCATCAGTCAAATTGTGTCATTTTCAGCCTGAATCTTGGCACCACAGCTCTGTCATGGACCGCACAATTAAGGACATTTGACAAATAATGATTTCACTGTAGTTTCTTTTTCTAATTATCACCTTTCATCTGGATAAAATGGCACTGTGTTGAAGGGGTGTTTGAACCCAACATGAGCACATCTAATCACCAAATTCAGATGTTGGCAGAAATGGTTGTTTAGCAGTTTGAAATTGATTCATGCAGAACCACATTCTCCTAACCTCAGGTCTTGCTGTCTCTGAAATGAAAGGGCTTGCTACCAGAGAGGGGAGGAGAGGAATGAGTAAGACAGAACGGAGGAGGAAGAAAGACACAGCGGGGGAAAAAGACAGCCAATGTTGCAGGAGACAAATTGCGACCAGCAGGTTTCCCTATGTGATAGGGCAGACAATACACACAGACACACACATGAACAAAACAGCAGGTTGGTAGCATTGCTTGAAATATTAAACATAAATGTCAGAGCCTTTCCCTCCTAGCTCCTCTTCTCCCCCTCCTGTCCCTCCCCCGCTCCCCTCCTGTTCTCCGCCCTCCACTGACAGTTTCCTGTTAATGACTTTCACTGGCACAGGAGACCACAGAGAGGAATAAAGAGTGTGCGGCATGCTCACGCACACACACACACTGCAGGTAGTTGAGCCCAGGATGAGTGTATACAGTCATGACTAATACCGGCTCTCACCTCGCTGATCCACTATTGTATAGGGAAGGCCAGCTCTAATAAGGCCAGAGTTAGCCCACTGTCTGCAGACACCTCTGGAGAACATTAGGTAGCAAAGGACATCGTCATGTTGGAGTGGTATCAAAATGGAGAGCCACACTACTGTCAGCATCAGTCTGATAACAACTGGTTAGACTGGAGAGTGTGGAGGCCAGAGCCAGAGCCAGATTCTGAAGGCCCAATACCAATAGTAACTGATAGGTCGGCCCCCTCCTAGTCGATCAGTTGACTGTTTTGGACTAAGATCTTGTTTGAAAAGACTTGTGAGCACATAAGGTATGTGAAAGGCACCTATATAAAATAAATAAATAATTTATTATTATTATTTAAGGTACACACAAGATGTAATGTTGTGTTTTTGCATGAGTCTTTGTGTAGGAAATTAGTTTTAACCCTCAGTTGAGAAAATCGTTTGAGTGTTATTCGTAGAAACTACAACCAGCTTTGCATGCATTCTCTTACAGTCTTTTTTTTAATTTTTTAAACACCTTGAATATCAGGGGGGGCGCGGGGCTCCGTTGGCGGGGCGCAGCACCCCTCCAAGACAATGGTAGGGGAAACACTAAGTGCCAAGTTTGTATTCAGTCGAAGCTTGTGGCTGTTCTTTGTAGCATTTCATACAGTTTTTAACCATACCTTGACCAACGTTTTCGACAATCATGATGATTTTAAACAAGAGCAAGACAAATGTTTGTGCATAATTATGAGTCTGTATTGACTTAAGAGCACGGCACAGAGCTGTCCAGCGTCAATTAAACTGTACATACAGCCATACACATGGGTACACTAGCTGTGTACTATTGACTTTTGCATGTGCTGTATGCTTTATTCTTAGAAAGAATCCAGGAAAGGCAGAAATACCAAACATAAACCATTACTGCAGGTTGGCATGTATACTGTTATGAAATGTCACTGGACTAAAGGTTGTACAGTGGGAATTTACCACTACTAATTCTGCCTGAAATGCATAATCAATCAGATTTAAAAGCCCACTGTCATAGTAACCAATACTGATAACCAAATTCAATTATGACAACATGAGACCATTGGGGAAATCACCCAAAAAGTCAAATCATAAGCTACAACGTTTTTTAGTTTTAGTGTTTTTCATTAAAAAAAAGCGTTTTCTGTCTGTGAGCGTGACTCTCTTTCTACCTGGATCTGCTGATTTTTCTACAAGGTGGATTACTCCTGCTGGAAAGAGCTCAAGTACTCAGGGTGCATCAAGGGCACAGTGCTATCTCTCTCTCCATGACACACGCACACACACACACGCACGCACGCACGCACGCACACACACACACACACACACACACACACACACGCACACACACACACACCCACAGTAGCTTAGTATGATGCTGCTTTTGTTGTGTCTGTCAGTTCAAACTCACGTCTCTGAATCTGTTCCAGGATCTGTCCTTGTACTGAGCCACGGTGCTCAGCCATTTCTCGTTACTGTTCCCGGAGCCCGCCGTTTCTCTGCTCAGCAGGAGAGCCACGACAGGTAGCAGAAAGAAGAACATCTTCTAAAAGCAAAGACAAAGAGTGGAGAGTGAGAAAAAACAAACAGAGAGGAACATAAGACGGATAGCCTCGTCAGAGTGCCAAACAGATGCTGAGGAAGAGGAGGCTGTAGCAAAGAGTTAGGGGAGCAGGCTGAAGTGATGTAGAGCACTTTACAGAACGGAGAACTCTCACGGTGTGACGCATACTGGTCAGAAAGCCACAGAGGAGTGTAGAGTGCTCAATTTATCAAACTGCTGACCGCTCTTTAATCGGATTATAAACATTGGAGAGTTGTGACCGCGGCATATGGAGCACCGCGAAACGATTAGCTCGTGAGCTTCCCCTCCGCCAATTTGAAAAGCAATTAGCGGCGTCAACACTATCTGCGCCCCCGCGGAGCTTTGTCTTGTTCATCTGTTTCTCCTCCATCCAGCGGCACAATGAAAGTCGACAATTACTCACTTTCAGTCCCAGTTAATATTTCTTTGACTGAAACAAATATATGAAAAACAGCCGGATTTGGTGCTTTGCCTACCTGGGATAGTTCGTTAGTGTTAAATGTGTCCGATTCCCGGGAATAAAATAAGTCCACGAACCCGGGCACTCCGGTGGTACCTGACACTGCTTGTAGGATGGAAGGAAAAAAGGAGATGCGATGAAGAGTGTACAGGGAGCTTTCTCCTCCTCCTCGGTCACTAGACACCGCCTCCTCTCTCTCTCGCCTCGTATCTAGAGAGCGAGCCTCTGAGCTCTCTCCTCTCTCGATCTCATCTCTCTCTCTCTCTCTCTCTCTCTCTCTCTCTCTCTCTCTCTCTCTCTCTCTCTCTCTCTCTCTCCCCTACGCGCTCTCACCGTGTCATTGATTTTCAGCAGGGGGGGTTTGTATGTTCACACGAGAGCAGGATTCGGGAGCTGTGTCACTGCGTTGTTCTGGGGTGTACAAACACACATTTCATATTAGTCACGCGCTTCTGTTGTGGAATTCAAGCTAGAGTCCACTGTAGTAAATACAATTAAGGCATAAAGCATACAATCAGCGAAACGTCTCATAGTTCCCACAGCTGAAGGTGTGTGCGTTTTAGCACCATGAACAAAAGCCAGGCAATGTCAAAGAAAACACAGGGGTATCACAACCCTTGTATTGCTTTTGAAAAGTATAACCAGTTTGAATCTAGAATGGAAATAGTAGTTTAAACAAAAAAGAGAGTGCTTTCCTTTTGCAATTCTGTATTCATCTCCTCCTGCTACGTTGCAAAACTCAGCCCTCTTTGCAGGAAATATTAGTTTTGTCTCCCAAAATCCAGCTAAACCCAGAAACACTAAACATTATAAGGCATTTCAATGAATAAAAAAAAATATAAGGATATTTTCGTTCAACCTGAAACTCAATGGCCGGGGCTTATTTATTGAGAAGGACATGTGGAATTGTTTTTTTTTTTTTTCCACTTGTAAAAAAATGCCCACCCGCATTTATGTCCTTCATAAGAAGTTCGGGTCAATCTGACCCGGATACAATACCAGGACAGACAGACAGAGAAAAACACACAGAAACTAAAGACACACACACACGCACACACACACACACACACAATAGACCTATCGCTAAACCACGCCCCAAATAGAATTTGTCCAATCATATCACAGCGAAAATCCCTCCTGACAGAAAACTCGGACATCACCAGAAAAGCCGTTTGTGGGGCGCATCAAACCAAAACCAGACGTCTGTGATCGAAACCACTGTGAAGAGTTCAGTTTCTATGTTTATTATCTAGCTAATATCTGATGGTGAAACGCTGTGCGTGGGGTACCTTTAATTTCGGACACCAGGTACCCTGAAAGACTGGATGGAGGAGTATATTTCGTACCTTTTCCGAAGCCCAAAAGAAAACTCGACAAATGCAAGCGGTGGATTATGCTGTGTCGTCAACCACATACACAACTGAATGTGAAGACAATTATCAAGGACACTTATGTTTGCTCAAAGGTAAGGTCAATTCATAAAGACATCATATTTGACGGTATGTATTAGAAACGTAGACCAAACTATTAGTTTGCTAACGATTAACTTTGACTGCCAACTAGCTAGCGTATATCCAGCCCAGCTAGCTAACGTTAGCTGCCAACTTGTTAGCCAGCTAACTAGCTACAGTGTTATCAACATCAACGTTTGCTGTCAGACTTTTCGTCCTCGCTAGTTAGCTGGTGTTTTTAGCTAACTTTTGCTAACTGTCTTTTCACCTCAAAGCACTTCAGAGATGGGAAGCCAACTCTGGAATATCAGATCCCATCCGGGCTCTCGTGTGTGCTGCTCCGAAAAGACACAGACCCTCACCCAAAAAAAGGTAACGCTACAGTCAGCCAGGTGCATAACAGTGAAAATGATGACCAACAAGGACAGTTATAGTTATATATTTAATGTAGTGACCACCACTGCTAACATTCAACATCATATTATCATTTCAATGGTTACACAACAGTCACCACTACACACGACAGGCAACAAGATTAGATATTTTATATAAAGAAATACATGGCTACCTTTTTACTCTTGCTTTTAACTGTTAACTTTCATCTGCTGTTGCTTTTATTAGCTCTTGCTTCTATGTTAATGTTATTTTAACTTGAACTCCCCCAGCGGCCATTGTCAAGAGTCATTCACGGTCGGCTTTGTTTGTCCGAGGTTTCAAAGGGGGCGTGGCTTAGCGATAGGTCTATTGTATGCGAGAAGCTGATCCTGTTTTCCCTTGATCTTTACTCCTTGTAGTGTGTACACAAAACTATCCAAGTAGAACATTATAAACATTTTAGATCTTCCAGAAATGTATAAACATTTTACTTTTTCTCACACTGTCCCCCCTCGCACCTGCAGGAGGGACTAAACAGAGACATAACCTCAGTGTAGTAACAGTGTAGTGCAGAACTACAATTATCTACCAACAAAATGGCCAAAAGATATTCTGCTCAGTGAGCCTTGGAGCTAATAATGGATGAGAGTGAGTGGAATGCATTAGAAGAACACGGTGAAGTGGAACAGGAAGACATTTCTGAAGATGAGGATAACGTGGAGGTAAACTCAGAATTTGACAGCAAATTGGAAGATGAACTTGATTCAGAGCCAGCTGCTGGAAGAGCCCCACAGCCAGCCGCTGAAGGACCCCCACAGCCAGCCGCAAGAAGACCCCCACAGTCAGCTTCTGGAAGACCCCCACAGCCAGCTGTGAGGTCTGTGGAACTCCAAGACACAGACTACATGCAGCAACTGCAACAAGTACATCTGTGCTATACACACGAAGAAGTTCTGTACACCATGTGTTTCCTAAACGGACTTGCCCATTGACTCACATGATGTTCTTCAGCGTCACTTCATCAATATATTTTTCGGATATACTGTATTTTATGAATAGTGACTGTTAATTGTTTTTATTTGCTTTGTGTTTATATCTGTTCTATGGAATTTATATGGATGTTTCATTCTCTATATATTTCACAGCCAAATACTTTTGGATGTGTGGTTCTTGTGTTCCAATTGCAGCTAAAATGCTTTGATTATTATATGACAGATTAAAAATAATAAACATTATTGAAAAAATGTTTAATTTACATTAGTCCTAGAAAAGCATGAGCAAAATGTAAACCTAGTTTTTATTACAGTGTATTTTTTTTAACATAAATTACATTTTTATCACAAAAAACGATTGACACTTCCATTGTTAAATTTGATCTAGCAAAGAGTATTTTCAAAAAGTAATCATATATTTCATTTATATTGTTAGGGAATGAGTTAAAGACAATATATATATATATATAAGGAATTGTGCATGTTGAATTTAGTTCTGTATTTTTATTAAACCCTGAAATATGTCACGGGTCAATTTGACCCGAGCATTACCAAAGGGTGCGAAATGTGAACATACTGTAGCACAAGGGTTAAACACCGGGGTGGAGGAGCTGATCATGGTGCTGTACGTTTCTAACTCCAGCTGCTAAGATGAACAAGAAACAAATCAGGGAGGTACCATAATTATTAAAACAATAACTCATGTGTACCCTAAATATGACTGTAGTTATTGATAATGGTTCATAGAAAATAACAGCAGATAGAGTTAATCAGTGTGATGCAGATGGAAAGTGGTCAGTAGGCAGATTCACATTAGTGAGGAACTAATTAGGATCATTGTGTTTAGATCATGCATCATATTAATACAAAGTAGTATTAGTGTGTTAGCATCGTTTTTGTGTTGCTTTCCTGATCTGCAGCAGTCTTAATGACAGATACAGAGTGTGAGAAGACAAGTTGAGTATACCTGAAGACCCTAAACAAAAGGGAAATATCCATTACTGCATTTGCACAAGCATGTACAGTATGATATCAGCGCGTAAGCAGCAATGGCTGATACATTTGAATAACTCTGACCCAAAACCTGGAAATCTAAAAAATATATGTAACTCAGATTTTAAAGCTGAAGCAAATTGAAGTCCGAGATGGGTCAGCTGTGTTGTTTTTATAAGATTACACTTAATGTCTACATTGAGATGTGGATGTATTTGTAGTTGCATCTAAAATACAATACATTTAACTTAACTTGTGGATAAAATTGAACTGGTAAAAAATACTTGTTGAAAGAAAATATAAAAAATAGTTGGACTATAGCTAACTAGATCCATAGAGGAAGTCAGTCATGACACCATTTTTTAAAATTGTTATCTCTATTGTTAAAAACATGTGTGTCCTACAACAGATGATGTGCCCTTCATAAAGCCAATGGATGGACGTGAAGCTTATAGTGAGACTTTGGGTCTCTCACTTTGCTTTCGTATTCTATCAAGCACTGTGTGATTGGTGGAATTGGAAAGTCCAATAAGCAGCTTGTGAGCTGAATGATAATGAGACACTTGATTTTGACATTAAGAGACTGTTACAAGACATTTATATGCAGTATAAGTTAATAGTGAAGCAGCCCCTAATAAATGGGTACTCTGACATTTACAGAAAATCTGGATAAAGCTGAGAACACTGGGAAAAGAGAGCATTTGTCCTTCAGCCACTGTCCAGTGTCTTATTTATACATCTACTTTCACATTGTAGCCTTTAACCTTCAGACAGACTCAGCGTAATACAATTTGTTTGAGGGCTAGTAAAATGTACCAAGAAAGCCTTAGGTTAAAACATTGGTTAAAGATTAAAACAAATAATATATTTTTTAAAAGATTTTACATTTGAACTTCTTAAAATATTAATGTTAATGACTAATATATATTTAAAAAGTAATCGTGTTCACCATTTCTGACCATTGTTCATTGTCTTTGTGTTTTTACAGCAGACAGAGACTCACCAATTTCTGAGTTCAAAGGATCCAATCCCGGCCTTACTTCTTATTTTTCCCTATATTCCAGCATCTAAGAAGGGGGTGGATGAAGGACAAGAACAGCTTTAGAGGATCCAATTTTGAATAATTAACATCAAAACATATGAAACAAAGCAAAGGAGTGCGGTGTCCCAGCGGTTAATTCACTGTATACATTCCCCACATTGCAAATGCAGTTGGTAAAAAGAAAAGAGTGTGTGTGTGTGTGTGTGTGTGTGTGTGTGTGTGTGTGTGTTGTGGTGTGTGGTGTGTGTGTGTGGGTGTGTGTGTGTGTGTGTGTGTGTGTGTGTGTGTGTGTGTGTGTGTGTGTGTGTGTGTGTTGTGT